CAGGGAAAGTGTCAAGTTAGGGCAGGGGTCACAGAGAATTAGTCCATCTTGTCTAGGTTTGTTAGTTGGACTGAGGCATTCTAGAGGTGTTGGGTCACGTGAAAATCCTGAGCAGCTTAGGGGGAAGAGTTATCATACAGGAACTGTTAAAATATTTACCAGAAATGCCATCCACCTCCTTTGCCAAGCTCAGGTAGAGGACTGGGATTGCACCTTGTTTAGAATCCTATGGAGACAAGGGCCATGGTGGGGGGGTGGCAGAATGGGACATCAGGCCGGGCAGGCTTCAGCCTGTCAGGGACACATGAGAAACAGGGCCCTGTCCCACCCTCTTCAGGCTGAGCCAGTTGCTCCCTCCCTACCTTAATGAAGAAACTGGTGAGCCTGAAGAGGAAGAGGAATAGCCAAGAAAATTGCTTCATGATCCCTGTGTATACAACACCTGAGTCCACAGAGTTAGTTCACAGTCACACCTGAGAGGGTGAGGCAGATGCATAGCACACAGTGAAGTGAAAGGAGGATGCTGGGAAGAAAAGATTAAGGGTGGTTCTGCAGTGTGCAATGAGGGAGGGATCCCATCAGGTCTGTTAGATAGAGGTGACCAAAGACATGGGAGTGGTACTAGGGACATCGGTGCTCTGTAACTTTCATGAAAGGTAGTACCCAAGCCATGAAGAGGACATAAGTATTTGAAAGTGTTGAGTGAACTCTAGGAGGAACATGATGCATGGTGTTGGTACTGGAAAATACTGGGAGGAGAAGGATATTACAAGTGATGAGAGTGGTAAAAGGTTGAAATGGAGATGTGAAGATGGGGTTGAAAGAAATATAGGGTGTACGGATGGTAAATGGAGAAGATTTACAGCTGGTTTGGGGGATATTGGGAGTACTTTATGGCCAGGGCATGTTGAGAGAAGTTGTGAAGTGTTGGTAGTGGAGGAGTAAAGGGTGTTGGAGGCAGTTACCTGTCCCTTAAAGTCTCCGGGCAAGCTCCCCAGTGAATGAAGTCAAAAGCAATTTGCAGCTATCATGGTTCTGGTTGAAGCCCAAAGGCCTGCCAGCCCCCATCAGCTGTTCCTCATCAATGAACCCACATATTTGCCGAAAGGAAGACACATTCACCACCCAGGCTGACCTTGCCCATTGCAGGACTCCTGGGAAGAGAGAGGACCACAGTCCTTCAATCCAAGTCCTGGGGTAAACTCTCATGCCCACTGGCCACCCTGCTTCTCCAGGAGACTCCAGGAGGGCAGGGCCCATCCAGGGCTTTCAGGAGTGAGTCAGTGGGTCCCGACCTAGGCACCTGGGCTAGGTGCAGGAAAACTTAACATGAACTGAGACCTCATTTTCATTAGCTATGTTCCTAATACTCTCCTTCCTCTTTTATTTTAGTATTTGGAGTTTTGCCTTGCCTTCCTTCCACTTGCCAGCTGGCGCTAACTTAATTGATCCTTGTTTACATTTTACCTCACTGACAAGGAGCAAGAAAGGAGAGGCTACAAACTCTGAGAGTTGTCTTTCACATATTCATACATTCATTCACTTATTCGTTCCACAAATGTTCATTAGGCCCTGGATTGTAGCAGACACCAAGATAGGTGCTGAGAACATAGGGTGCTAGGTTTGGGTGGGGGAAAAATGTGTGCAGAGATACTTGGGAAGGTGAGTTTTTTTAAAATCTACCAAAGGAACAAAAAAAAAAGTCTGGATTACATAAATTATGAAAAATAGTAGTTCTCACATATGAATTTACAGTATTGTTTTCAAAATGCTAAAACTATTTGAACCCTATATTGAAATTAAGAATCACAAATGAAAATTTGAACAGGTAGTATTTAGCAAAAATTTACTAGAGAGAAAATTATTCTTAAAGAGGACAATGGACCCCAAACTAGCAGATGTATTGACATAAAGACCAAAGGAGCTCGCAGCCTAGTTGGAGACTGATCCTTACAGAGCAATGTCAGGGGACAGAGATGTGTACAAGGAGTTAAAGGGAGCCCTGTAAATTGGGAGTGGCTGAGAGGCAGAGGTGTCAGGGCAGGAGCCACAGCACAGGTGATATCTGTGCTTAGTCTTGGCAGGTTAACTAAAGTTAGCCAGGCTCAGGGGGTGGAAAGGGATATTCCACGTAGAGAGAATCGCATGTGTAAAAGCATAGCCAGAGCGGGGCGAAACATAGAGCATAGTCTAAGAGCTACAGATTGGCTGGAGATGAGGGTGTGGGTTAAGGAAGGGCAAAAGGTGAGGTTCTCAGACTGCAGAGGGTCTTGTAAGTAAAGAGAAGGGGCCTAGAGTTTATCCTGTAAAGGACAGAGTACCTTCAAAAGATTTTAAGCAAGAAAGAGATATGGCAAAAGGCGATTTCTAGAAGTGGCGGAAGGGAGAATAGATTAGATATGGGGAGACAGGAAAGGAACAGTTAAGAAACTATTACTATGAACACAATTTAGGTTGCTATCTAAATTGGCGTATCCCAGGCTGAAGTAATTTTTGCTCAAATAAATGCTTTATATATATAAACACTACTACTAAGCAAGGTGCAGACACGTTACAATTTTTGGGAAGAGGAAAAAAAACATGCTCGCAAATGCATGGAGTTTTGCCTTGCTCTTTGTTCATTTTCCACTTGGGTAATGTAATTAACTGACCATGAAAAGGTACATGAGACCCTGACAACCTTACCTCCCAGGAGGAGACTGGACAGCTGATTTTCAAGGAGAGGAGACATTTTTTTTTTAACTGCATACCCTTTTGTACACTTTCAATTTTGTATTTTAGACATGTATTACCTGACCAAAAAATTAATTTTCTCTTATAGAGACTATTATACAAACCAGGAAAAAATGTTAGGGAGAATTTGCCTGTCACCCACTTTCTCCTTCCTTCTCCGAGAAGAACTCAAATTTCCTTAATCAGAAAAAAATTAAAAGATCAGAAAGTAAAGGACTTGGGCCCAAGGCAGTGGTGGTTTTGTCTACCTCCCTGGTAGTTCCTGAGTTCTTTGAGAACAGGAAGTCAGTCTTCTTGGTGGTTATGTCCCTAGTGACCTAGTGACACCCTCAAGAAGCTTGTGTTGGGATGACTGACTGCTGGTCTGGCTGGAACTTGGAGCTGGGAGAAGAAGAGGTGGGATCTTATATCCCCTTGCTGGTTGTATCTTGGGCTACCTGGTTCCATTACTAGCATCCTAATCCGGACTTGTGACTGGTGGTTCCCCTGCTGCGTACAACAAAAGCACACTGGGTCATTGCTCAGCAAGCAGTTGAGTGCCAAGGGGAAGGAAATAACCATGGGAGACAGTAAACAAGGAAAATGTCAGGAGAATGGAGAAGTGAGGTTGGCACAGAAGATGGGCATAGTTCCTTTGCAGATTTGTAAGCAGAATGGCCCGATATAATTGGTGGCAAAGGTGAAATCAAAGGCCTTTGGGGTTAATGTCTTGGGGATTCCTGGAAGGAGATAAGAACACAGGGAGTGGGTGATGGAGGGATGACCTTGAGGGAAACAAAGTCTGGGGGATATATTGGGGTTCAGTAGAAATGCCACAAGAGCATGTCTGTGCAAAGATAGGACAATGAAGTTTGAGGCTATAACTTAAGGCAGGTTCTTTAGGGTTGTGTGAATTCGAGTGATGTGCAGGTTACGCTTCAGGGATGCTTGTTTTAAGGTACCTGAGCTAGAAAGGAAGCTCCCAAAGCAGGTTTGGGGGAAGCGAGTCAAGGCACATACCAAAGACTGCAGCATTGTTAACTAGTAGACATATTTCAAGATACTCCTACAGGAGCCACCAGGCAAAGGTCCGGAGGGAGGCCATAGAGCTCAGGTCCACCTCACCAAGCAGAAAGCTTTTTGAGGCTGCTTGGATCTCAGCCAGAGCTTGCTGTCCACACTCATGGCTACGGCAGGCAAGGACCACACAGGTCCCATGCGGATCAGCTCCTGGGACACTGCCTTCTCAATGCCTGTTGGAAAACAGCTTCAGAGGCTCATCTGGGAAGTAACTAGAGGGCCGAGGAGCAAGGGGAGGGACAAGGGTCCTGACAGTGGGTGTTCCTCCTCCCCTGCTCTCCCTGTTAAAGCTATTGGGGGCTGAGGTCCCTAGTGAGGTGACAGGATGGTAGCACTCACCACTTTTGGCCTCAGTCACCACTGCCATCTTCCCAGTCATATCTGTGGAGCAGTGCTGGAGGTCTCCCAAAGATGAGACTTATGCCATAGCCACCACATACTTAGTCTAAACAGGAGGAGCAGAATGATCTGCCATCTTCCCAGTCATATCTTGGAGCAGTGCTGAGGTCCCCCAAAGATGAGACTTATGCCATAGCTACCACATACTTAGTCTAAACAGGAGGAGCAGAATGAGGACAGAACCAGGGCCCCAGACCAGGGTGCTGAGTAGACCACAGCAACATAGCAGAGACTTCTGGCCTGCTACCTGGAGTACAGCAGTGGGAGGAGGATGGGGAAAGGCTAGTCAAGGCTGAGTGGGGACTATTAGTGAGGCTGGTGTGGAGCCTAAGACACAAAATTTAAGGAGGCACTCACACATTTAAGCAACCCATTTGAACCTGAGAATGACTTCCTCCTTATATTGTGTGCCCATTATTGCCACACTCCAAATCCAGTCAACAGAAGCTCAAGGCTTTGTCTCCAATTGACAGAGCTCCAGGGATTAGTGGAGCAAGAAATCAAATTCTTCATGTTTTGAATAATTCTGTGCCTTCCTCCCCAAATGAAAGGAGGCTGTAAGTTCTCCTAACTGAGGTAGATCCCACTTGCAGACCTTATGTCCGCTCCTTCGTGGGGAGAGGGATGATTCTCCAAAATGCCTCTGCTGGGGAGTAGCCTTGGCCCTCAAGTAGCAGGGGCTCCTAAAGGTGGAAATGTGTTTATTCCCTGGAGCCAGCTTTCTATCTTCTTCTAGGCCTACAACTGTTCCTCTCCAGATCCGTGAAAGTACACACCCTTTGAAGAAACTAAAAGAAGTATCAGGCCAATTCTTAAGGCAACTTAGGTGTTTATTTCTAGCAGACAGAAAGTAGGTGGGATTCTCACTGGCTGAGGTTCAAGCCTCATAATGGGGCAGGAGCTTGGAGAGGAGTGACCACAGTCTGGGGGTTGAATTCTTCATTAGCTGTGTCACAGTCACCTGGGCTTCTGAGCACCTGTCTAGATAAGGCACTACTCAATGAGAGGAGAGGTACCACCTTCATTGTCCTCCTGCTGGGGTGTGCTAGAGCTGAGCAGCATCTGCGTGGGTGAGTTCCACATGCTCACACCAGGAGCAAGTTTCATGGCTTCGGACAGCAACATAGGCTTCCACACCACCTGGGACGTGGCCTCGAGGATTTGGGACTCAGGACTCTGACTCCTATGAAGATCCTCACCTCTCTGGTCCTCGGGGTCCCCGGAGTCCAGGCCCTGCGGAGGAACCTGGATGCGGCCCGCCCACAGATCTTCCAGCAACTCGGCCTCTCCCTCCCAGCCGCTGGGCCACTTTGCACTCGGCCACATCTGGGGTCTGGGGTTGCGGGCCACGTTGGGTTGCCCGTAGAGAAAACGGATCTCGGGGCAGGGCAAGGGCAGCTTTGATCGGAAGCCTGGTGATGGTAGGCGTAAGCTTAAAGTGGGGTGTTGGAGGCGGGGGCCCAAGGCACCAAAAGGAACGCCAGGCGGTAGAGAGACAAAAGGTGCTGGGGAGACCTGGACACAGGGGCCAGTGGCTGGGCGTCTGGCTGGAGCCCCGGTCTTCACAGCCTGTGGGCGCCCGCGGTAGGTTTCCAGGAGGCGCGACCCGGAGTCTGGATCCACAATCTCAGCCAGCGGGCACACCCAGTGGCGCGGCAGTTGTGTGGGGTCCAGACGCGCCACAACCGACCTGCGACTCGCGGTGTAGGAAAGGGTGCTCAAATGCGAGTCTGAGCCCTCGGTTTGCTGCAGCTGGAAGAATCCTGAGGGGCTGAGCATGGTGGGGCTTCCCTCAGAGGAGCTGGCCAACGATTCGCCCGAGGCCATGCAGGGCACATGCTCTTTCTTGAGCTCCAGCAGGTCCCCAGCCACGTGCGGTTGCCACATGCAAGAGTAGAGGTCCTTGATCGAGAACTGGGAGCTGAGGGCCTGTGCCTTCTCAGCAGATTCCTGGGAGCTGGCTACCAGGGACAGCTCCAGAGAAGGGTGGGGACTGCCAGTGGTAGCCATCTCCACCGATGACGGTTGGAGGCTCACATTCAAGGACTCGGGCGAGGACAGGTGGCCTCCTCCCTGGCCTTCCAGTTCATCTGAAGGACATCTGGGCCCTGCCTCCTGAAACAGCTCAGGGGTGGGTAGGGAACCAGGGGTGTCTCTCAGCTCCGGAGAATGCTCCCAAGATTCCATCTGCTCCTCAAAGTCTCTGTCCATCCGTGCTCTTCCTAAAGAAATTTGGTCCTCGCTCTCTTGGTCCTGGGGAAATACACCGGGGGTGGAGATCAGAGGTGAGCAGTGAGACATCGGAAAGGGGAGAGAGGAACTAAAGGTAGAGGAGTCCAGAGAGGCCCTGAGGAGAACGAAGAAGACTCCGTGGAGGTAGGAGTGAAGGTCAAAGGGAGCTGGGTGCTGGGCTTACTTCGCTTTGGAAGGTCTCCTCCAGCCCCGCCGAGGCGGGAGCGTGCAGCACGGGCACGGATCCCTGAGCCCAGGCATCTGTTGTACATGCTGAAGGCTCCTCGTCCTCGCCCCACGTGGGGTCCTCAGCCACTGAAGATTCTCCTTCGTCCCGGACCAGGAAGCGCCACTCAGTGATCTGCAGCATGGCCTCCCGAGCCTGGCTGATGGTGAATGGAATGCACTGCAAAGAGGAGAGAGAGGGGTCTCAGCTGGGCAGGGAGTGTGGGGGAGGGGGGAGGTGTTGTCTGGAGGACCCAGATCCAGGCTCACCTGTTGGGTTAGGTAGACCTTGAAGGCAGAGTCCATGACTCGGGACAGCAGATCTGCCAAGATGTCCCCCACCACATCCTCGCCCTCCTCCACAGCCGTAAGCGCCATCCACTCAGCCTCAGTGAGCCGCCCAGGAACGATGTCCACCTGCGGCACAGGCACCGTAGGTGGCCGTGCCTTTTCTGCTTTGGATCGGGTCACCCCGCGGTCTCGGGCCTGCCTCTGTGGGAAAGGAACAGGATAATAAAAACAAGAAACCAACGAGTGGAACAGAGAAGCAGCTATAGGCTAGAGGGAAGCTTTCTCAAACTGTCTAGTAAGAAAGAGAAACCTTTTGAAAGGGTCAATTTACTAAGAGCCTGCTGTGTGACAGATACTTTTTAGGTGTTTGACCTAATTTAGTTTCATAATAGCTCACTAAGCCCATTTCACAGACAAAGAAACTGAAACTTGACACAGGTTAACCAGCACTTGTTTTGGATTACAAAATAAACCCAGGCTTTATATAGCTCCAACTCCACAGTCCTTGCTATTTGCACTAGGTCAAAGTGTTCAAAGTTTTTGAGAGGTTAAAGAACTTGAGAAAGACAGTCAATATATGGTGTTGGAATTATTGATGCTGTTTAGAGTCTCCTCTCCTCCCCTAAATCAACTTAGATCCTCATTTCATAATATATATCTAATTAAATTCCAGATGCAGTATAGGACAAACACATACATACACATACACACAAATATAAACAAAAAATAAGATGCAAGAAAAATAGGTTAAACTGTCATATATTCTCTGGGTGAGAAAGAACTGCTTAAGCATAAAAGTAATGTAAGAATAATTAAAAAAATAGGTAGATAGGTATATATACATAGGTCAAATTTTCCTGTACTTATTTTTAAAAACATTCTAATTACAAGCTTATATTGGTAGTTACCATGTACTAGCACTTAAAGTATAATAGACACATACGTGGACTCAATTCCTACATTTTTTAGACAATATACTCTTTTTATCCCCATTTTACAGAATTTTCCCAGGATCACATAACAAGGAAGTAGTGGAGTCATAATTCAAATGCCAGTCTGGTTCCCATGCCTGACTTTATACTGCTTTCCAAACAAAAAACATTTGTAGCAAATATAAAAAATAAATATTCCCCAATATATTAAAAATGCACATAAAATAAGAAAAATATTACACGTAAAACTACTGTACAATGTAATGTCAACTATAATCAATAAAGAAAAAAATTTAAAAAATAAAAACTTTAAAAAAAATCATAAGACCCCAAGGAAAATAAGCAAAAGACGTAACATTTCACAAAAATGGAACTGTAGATGAGTAATAAACATTTGAAAACATGTCTAACTTTCAAAATTATCAATTCAAGTTTTACAAATGCATTCAAAGGCATATTCTAAAATAAAAATAAAAATATATCCTCCAACATATTCCCTGTGTTGTGATTTATAATAGCAGAATATTAAAGCATGTCTAGCAAAAAGAGAATAGATGGCTAATTGTATACTATCTTCATGACAGAATATTATGCAATGATTAAATGTAATCTTTATGAGGAATTTGCAATAGCATAAGAAAATATTTATGATTTAATGTTAAGTGAAAGAAACAGGATAAAAAATTATATGTCAAGTATGATCTCAGGTAATATAAACCAGTATTTATTGAAGAAAAGAAAAACAAAATTGTAATGATAGGCACATTTCTTTTCTATGCTCTTCTCTATTTTATAAGTTCTATACGATTAGCTTGTATCCTTTTATAATCAAGAAAAATCCACTTAGAAAAAGACTAGTGCCAAAAATTCATTCAGAACACAGGATTTTACTAGCAGATTCTTGGGAGCCTCCTCACTAACCCCACGACAGTCTCCTTGAACTTAGTTCCTTCCAAAATTGACCTCCAAATGTACTCTTCCCAAACCTTTGCCTCCTCAGACCCAGCCTTACTGACTCATACCTGATGTTCCCTAAAATTCTTTCTCTCCCCTATCTGGTGTTTTCTAAACATCGCACTGAACTCAAAATCTCTTAAGCCTCATTTCCCATCTTTGTTAGTGAGAACAGCCTCGGTGGCAAGCCTAGGGAATGGTCCCGTCCAAGCTTGGCCAGAAAGGACAGGTAAGGCTGGGAGACGTCCTGTTCCTTAGACTTCACCTCCCCATTCTCTCATGTGACACTGGTGATAGTGCCCATGCCTAGGCGTGGCCTGACCAGAGGTGCCAGACATATTGTTACACAAAGGCTCTTCGAATGTCTTTTTTTTACTTTAAAATTTCTTGGTTTAAAAAAATTTTTGACTTTCAAGTTCAGCCTCAGAGTTGTTATTTAATCCATTTCTTCCTCCTGTAACTCTCGAAATGGATAACTTTTTTAGCAACACCTCTCCCCAAGCCTGACCAGTTCTCGTTTATTCATTTAAATGGACACCTCAACGTAAGAGATTTATTACATGCATTAGCTGTTTCCAAAGTCACTTCTTATTCTCAGGCTCTTCACTACCCATTTGAAGCCTTCCCTCAGCTTCCGAGTGCCACAAAGCGTGTGAGTGGGAGTGGTGCAGGTGTAGATTTTGTCCAAGTCCCGGAGTGGATTCCTTGGCCATCTTGAATGCCTGTGTGGTGGGCCGGCGCCGGGTGTCGCGGAGCTGCCCGATGGTTCCCGACACCGACCTTAAGAGCCCACTCTGGCGTACCGCCAGCTAAGGTGAAGCTCACCGAGCTTTCATGCGCCATCGCATCAGCTGTTGCTCCAACCTCTGGATTTCCGCGCTTCCGGGTCCAGCTCCTGCCACCGCCTAACGGTCGCCCCAGCAACCACGCCTTACGCAGAGCCGCTGCTGCTCGCCCCCCACCCCGCGCTCACAGTTGCCCTAGCAACCGCGCCGCGCGCTGCACGTTCGGGTTATTCGCCCCGCCCAACGGTCATGCGTACGTGCGTCGTCTCTATGGTGGCGGCGGATTCGGAGGGACCGAACGATCCTGGAGTCAGGCAAGGCGACCTGGGGCTTCTGGTGTGACCTCTGACCTGGGCCGGGGGCTTCGGGGAGCCGAACTGAGGGAGGAAGGGCATGAGGGTCACCCTGCCTCAAACTTCCTTGGCTCGGGCACTTGGGGACATCACTCTTGGCACTGGGTCATCACCATTCCTCCTCTAGGATTCCCCCGTCGCCCCATGACTCAGCCCTGGGGCTCCTCTCTCCTGTCCACGAGACCCTCCCCATGCCAGACCCCCCATCATCGTCCTTGAGGCCCCCAATTACATGATGACCCAGTCTCAAGGGTTTTCCCCAGTGCCTCATGACAGCACCTCCCAACCTCCCCGCAGAAATCACCGCTGTCACCTGTTTACCTCTGCGCTTTTGGTGATTCAGGCGTCTCTCCCCTAGGATGTTCCGTCGGGAGCGCTCCATTCCTCTTCGAGGCTCCGCTGCCGCCCTGTGTAACAACCTCAGTGTGCTGCAGCTGCCCCTCCGCAACCTCACACATTTTGGGGTTGTCCATGGACCCAGCGCTCATCTTCTGAGCGCTGCTCCTGAGGGTGTGCCCTTGGCCCAGCGCCAGCTCCACGCTAAGGAGGGAGCTGGAGTGAGCCCCCCACTTATCACCCAGGTGAAGAATGGAGTTGGGAGTGGGGTTGCTGAACCCAGTTCTAACCCCTGTCCTTCCTTTCCAAACCTCAAAAAAATAGGCTTTCCCGAATCCTCTGAATTTCCACTCTTCTGAGTCCTCATATCCCCTGCTTTGACCATTTTTCATACTCTGATACAACTCCCTCCAGGTCCACTGGTGTGTCCTCCCCTTCCGAGTACTGCTGGTACTTACCTCACATAGAGGAATACAGGTAAGAGGAGGACCTTTCTGTCCTCCCCAACTAGTCTTCTCAACTCCTCTCCAAAGCCCCAAGACTCTTCCTCACTTGCCTCTAAACACTCCCAAATTTTACACGTGCTTAGCCCAATCTTCATTATTTCTCATCTTCATTCCTTTCATCTTTTCTAATTTACAAATGCCATCTCCAATATCTGCCTTTTTGCCAGCTGAATGACCTTGGGCAATTTAGTTAACTTCTCAGAGCCTCCGTGTCCTCCTCTGTAAAATGGAATAAAAGTAGTGCTTATCTGCCAGTTATTTTGAGGATTAAATGGGCTAAGGCTAACACGAGTATGTGATGTACTCAGCGAAGGTTAGCCTTTGCCCTTATCTTTCAGATGTATGAGTCTGATGGGTCTGTTATGGTCTATTGGCACGCACTCGACGCTGGAGATGCCTCTCCAGGTACCTGCAGGACTGAGTAGGGTGGAGGTAGGGAGTACTTGCTGGCACTGGAGGAGGCTCTATTTCTAATAGTTTTCCCCTTTCATACTCAGTACAAGCTGTGTTTGCCCGAGGAATTGCTTCCAGTGGCCACTTCATCTGTGTGGGTGAGGGGACCAAGAGCATGGCATTGGGGGGGGGTGCTCGGGAATAGGGCCATGGGCTTTGGCCAGGATGCTGCTGAAGGCCTGAGGAAATTGTGGAAGGTTAGAGGGAAGGGTGGAAGTGAAGGGGGGTCTGAGAGACTCCAAAAAGCCATGGAGGGGTTCGAGGGGCAGGGTGGATTAGAATAAAGGTATTTATGGAAGGGTAGGGCTGTTGAAGCAGTGAGAGCTGTGTTTGTTACTAAGGTTCCCGGGATGGAGAGGGTGCTAAGTGTAGAGAGTCCTGAGTGTACTGGCTGGAGACTTAGGAGGACCAGGACACACTGCTTCTGCAGGAACGTGGTCAGGCCGGGTACTGGTATTTGACATCCCAGCCAAAGGTCCCAACATTGTATTGAGTGAAGAGCTGGCTGCACACCCAACATCAGTTACCGACATTGCCAGCGAGCCTGCCCAAGGACAGGTGAGTGGATTTTCCCTTCCAATTCCAGTGAACCTGAGAGCCATCCCCATCTTGGGAGGCAGGAGACCTGGATTCAAGTCTTGGCTCTGCCACTAAGCAGCTGGATGACTTTGGGCAAATTACTACACTTCCCTAGGCTTCAGTAACCTCAGGTCCAGTGATGAAGCCAGAGATACTTTACATTTATATGGCATTTAATAGTTCAGTAACATTTTTCAATACTGGTGTGAATTGAGGAGTTGGGACAGATGGTTTCTAAGATGCCTTCCAGCTCTGACATGTGCAGCTTTCTTCTCTGGACTTGGGAAAGTCCTACCTATTCAGGCCCATCTCCACTGCTACCCTTTCCAGGAAGTCCTCCCTCTATTCGAGCTCTCACTGATCTCCCTTAGCTGAACCCTGAATTGGTACTGCCCTCAAAGATAACTCTTATGTCCCTAAGTGGATTACAAACCTCTGTAGAACAGGGTTTGTATTTTCTAATTCATATCCTCTACTGAACCTGGCCTAGAGCTGGGCCCATGGGCTATGCTGGCTGCCTGAGGCTGGGGATCAAGAGGCTGACTCTAGTCATAACTGGCTGGCTCACTAGAAGATCTCCAGAAGGTCAAAACATTATGGCTTCAGTTTCATCATTGATCCACTGAGTACAATTATATGCCTCCTCCTAACATATGATGTGGGTTGGGGAAGGGAGGGTGGTGAGACTCTATGAGGAATGCAAGAAAAGCATTTTATGCTTCCTGAGGGAACGCTGGGTCTAGCCTATGGGGGCTCCACATCTTTCCTTTCCCTGGAGAGGCAAAGATGCAGATACTGCCTCCCTTGTATATAGGACCCAACAGGGGAGAAAAGAAAAGGCTGATCCTGCCTTTCCCCTCAGGACTGTGTGGCTGACATGGTGACGGCAGATGACTCAGGCTTGCTATGTATCTGGCAGTCAGGTCCTGAATTCAAATTATCGACCCAAATTCCAGGATTCGGGTAGGTGAGGGAGAAAGGGCTGAGGCCTTCCTGAGGCAGCTTCAGGGTGGGGAGCGGGCTTGGGTCTGAGGAAATTAAAGTGGGTTGTTGCCTTTGCAGGGTCCCATGCACCTCCGTGCAGCTGTGGCAGGGGACCATAGCAGCAGGCTATGGGAATGGGCAAGTACGTCTGTATGAGGCCAGTACAGGAAATCTACATATCCAGATCAACGCCCACGCCCGGGCCATCTGTGCCCTGGACCTGGCTCCTGAGGTGGGCAAGGTCAGTCCCTACATCCCCTCGTTCTCAATGTTGAGATGCTGAGAGGAACTCCACAAGCTTGTCTTTGCTACTTGATGTAGCCCCATCCCCAGACACTTAGACCAGTCCCTCCAGCCTATACCAGTCCCCTGTCAGCATGTTCCAATTCCCACTTGTCCTCTTTGCTTTTTTTTATAGCTACTAACTGCAGCCGAGGACACCTTTGTACATATCTGGAAGCTGAGCAGAAGCCCAGAGAGTGGCTACATTGAGGTGTGTGTGGCTGGAGGAGTGAAATGGGGGGCCCAAGCATGGGCAACAGGCCCTGAGCAGCCCTCTTCTCCACCAGGTGGAACACTGTCATGGTGAGTGTGTGCCCGACACCCAGGTGTGTGGTGCTCGATTCTGTGATCCCTCAGGCAACTCCTTTGCTGTGACTGGCTACGACCTCGCTGAGATCCTGAGATTCAGCAGCATGTGAGAACAGAGTATCCCTCTCTCCCTGTTTTTATAAAGTACCTCCTCTACCCAGCCCTTGTCTGATTACTCAGTATCACAGTCATCCTCACAACCAGCAAACTAAGCTCCAGAGACGCAACGCATCGTCAAGAACTGGGTGAAGGCTGCTGTTAAATAACTTTAATGGTTGATGTGGGAGTCACAAGGGAGGTGCTTTCCCTCCCAAGGCTCTTCAGTGCCATCCTCAAAGCTGGTTAGTGCAGGAGGTAGGGCAGGGTTGGTTCCAGTTTTCTCCCAGGAAGGGTTTAAGGGGTCTCAGCCAGCCCCAGGAATGAGTCCCTCAGCACCATGGCAACCATAGCTTAAGAGGGGCTTCCGCTCCCCCCACCCCAGCCTACCCAGGTCCAGCGGAGGAAGGGGAGGCCAAGCTGGCCAACCTGCTACGGCCAGCACTGTATCCAGAGCCCAGGTGCATACAGGTCATCTCCTCTTCTGGCCAGATCCTCTTGCCAGTACCTTTCTCTCTCACACTGGTGACTGCAGCCAAGTGCGGGGTGGGCCTCTGGACCGTGGGGATTGGTGCGGAGGGAGAGGGGCAATTGAGCAGGAAGCCCCAGGGGAGTGGTCTGGGGGGACAGCGTCCAGGGAGAATGTTCGGGGTCGCCCCCAGGGCAGGGGATGGGTCTGGGCTGGAGCCGCTGAGGCAGATGGGCAAAGACTGGGCAGAGCAGGCTGGTCTGTAAACATGGCTAGCCAGGGTGGGGGCTTCTCCAGCCTTGCGCCCTCCCGCTGAGCCAGGATGTCTGTCACCGCTGCGATGTCATCCAGTGGCTCAATAGCTGTGGCACCAGGAAGGAGTTGAGGGGAGGGGGGCTAGTCAGAGCTTAGGCCTCAGGCCTACCCAGCCCTGACCGTCACCTGTCACTATAATAAGAGAGCAAAGCCCGGATCTCAGCCGAGACTGCATTATCCTGAAGGAGCAGCCCCTCGCCTGGGCCCCCTGGAGCCACAGGCTCTGATAAGACTATGGGATACAGGTTGTAGAATGGATGGGGATTGGGGGATGGTCAGCAGAAGTGGGTGAAGAAATCAAGAAAGAGGAGAAAAATGAAAGCAGTGCCAAGCAAGTGAAGGTCAGAGGAAGAGACAGGAATCCGCATGCAGAAAGGGAAACAAACAAAAAATGAAGTTAGGACAGAAATCCATGAAATGAATCTGGTTCTTCGGGGTTTTATTTTGAACTTTGGTGCAGGTGCTTCTAAGAAGAGTTGGAGAAGAAAAAGGACTACAACAGGACTGGGTGGGACTTGGGTCCCCAGAATTCTGCCTTAGCACGAAGTGTACTTTCTCTCTGTTTCCATTATCTGGATTCCCTTCAAGCCCCAATCCCACTTCCCATTAGGTTCCTGGAGTATACTTTCACTTACCCATCTCATGGTACAAGGACCCCTGCTTGGCCAATACTTGGGGTGGTTTCCGGGGAGCAGGGGTTTCAATCTTCATGATTTCATCACAGCACTGCTTCCACTGGCCTGACGGGAGAGCGCTGATTAGGGGTGGAGGTGGGAAGGACTGAGAGGGCCAGGCTATCCTCTCCCCTGCTACATTCCCTTCCACTTGTTCTTGGAACAGAAGCCTATGATAAAAATAACAAATCCCAATTTCTCCCAAAGGTTCAATCCAGCCCCCTCCTCTTACTCATGTCAAAGAAAAGCTGCCACAGAGCCTCCATCCAGCTCTGCAGGGCTCCCCGACTCTCTGTCTGAAGGGTGTGTCTCAGCTCGTCCTCCCCATACTGGTTACTGATGCTCAGTGTGAAGGGCCGGCCTGCAGCCTGCTCCAGCTCCCCTGCCCGGACTCGAGTCTCCTGCAAGAGAAAGAAAGGAGTCTGCTTCCAACTCCACCTTAGTCACAGGGGTCAGCAGTGACTTCGGACAAGCTTGATCATCCCTGCCTTAAAAAGAGGAGCTTGTGAGGCTTTCACCAAACCCTCTCATTTGCCTCCTACTAACCAGAATAGGAAGGAATAGCAGGAAAGGACTGGAGATAAGACA